TCCCCGAAGCGCCCAAAAGCGCCCAAGCGCCGAGGTCGAGTGCGCCTTCACTGAAGCCACAGAGCGCCCCGCTGGCGACGCGCCACTGGCCCTAAAAATGGGGGCAGGACCGGGAAGGCCTTTTTTTGGGTTGGGTGCTTCAAAGAGACATCCAAAAGGACGCTCACCATTTGAGGTTTTTTTTTTCTCCCGGCTGCCCCAGTTTGGGTTTTTGAGACCAAGTGGAAGAATTTCATGGGGTTGCCAACCAAATCCTTTTGTTGACTTCAACTGGTGCTGCCGAAGACGAAAACGGAAAGGGGACCATCATTCTGCAAACCCTCCGTAGCCACTGACAATTTTGCTCCTCTATTGTTGGTTTGAGGAGGACATGGAAGGGGGGGCACCCAATTTTACATCAACATCCAAGGGCCCACTCCCCAAGTTGCCCATGTCACAAGATTAAAGTTAAAGCAACTTTTTCGCCATATCAAAGTGCCAAAAGCCAAGGCGCATCTTTGTCGAACACCACATCATCCATGCAAAGGACGGGTCAGGGTTTTATCGCCCCGGAAACTGCGGTTGTCGACGCCAGGATCAACTTTCAACGTGGATTCGGGGTCTCGAAGAGACCGCCAATATACGTCCCCTGCGGCACTTAGCGCTGTTTGGCTTTGCGAAAAGAGGTTCTCAGAATCCCGCTCCCAGGTCACGGGTCTGTTCGCGATAGCAATCCCAGATGTTCGAAGAGTGCATGCTGTGCGAGTAGCTTGGTTAAGGCTGGCATGGACAATGGTCTGGGTCCTGGCCAGCATAGAGCTCAGCCCGGTCTTTGGTTCTCAGAGTTGGAATGAAACTGAACCATCTCCGGTGTCCTGAGCCGCGTTCACGAGCGGCGACTCGGCCCAGGTACGATACGCAGATGGTTGGTTCCATGATGTGGGAAAGAGATGTGGGTCTTTCACACCCGGCTCAGAAGCAGCAGCCCGGCTCAAGACTGCTACTGTTCGCAAGTCGCAGATCGCAGACACACTTTGTATGCCGCGCGCAAAGCAGGTGATGCAGGGGTTGCCTTTGCCGAGGTTGACTTCTCACAAGTCACCTCCGCTTGTGAGCTTCACACATGCGAAAGGCATAGGCCTGGGGTTCGGAGTGGAGGTGTTGCATACCTCTTTCAGCTCCTGTCAAATGTGTAAGCCAAATGATTGATGGTTTCAACCCAAAGCCCATAACCACCCTAAACCCAAAACCACCCCAAACCAACCTCAAACCCAACCTCCACAAGTTGGACGGTTTCAACGAATTTTCTTGTGGCATTCACTGGGTCATCTTCGCACTCCAAGGGTCTGGCATGGAGTCCAGAAGCTAACTGGGTGTAGGGGACGGGGACCATGCCTGGGTCGGAAGGGGATGGTCACTGTGAACCATCCAACTTGTGAAGGTTGGGTCTGGGGTTGGTTTAGGGTGGTTATGGGTTTAGGGTTTGAGGGTTGGTTGAGGGTTGGTTGAGGGTTGGTTGAGGGTTGGTTGAGGGTTGGTTGAGGGTTGGTTGAGGGTTGGTTGAGGGTGTCGGGGAATCCCCATCCAAAGACGATTCTCTGAGAACCAGAAAACAAGCAAAAACGCAACATTCGAGACTCTCTTAAGTCTTAAATTTAAACAAACAAAAGCGCAACAAAAGCAAGACCCTCCTGAGTCTTAAATCAAAGGCGCCAAGGGGCGGTTCCCGTCAAATCTGTGGCAAAGCGGCTTTCGGGGCATCCTAATCCATCCGCTTTGCCGATTGCACCGGATCCGATTCGAGTCAATTTGAAGGCCTGGCGCAAGCCAAGATCACCGGTGCTCCCGGGCCTGGCCACTACACCAAGCCCGACCTCTGGGATCCCTACTGGAACCCTGACCGCTATGGATCGGACGCGTGGGATGTTTTTTTCTTGGTCTAAAGTGGCCAGACGAGACATGTTGGAGCGTTTTGTCGTTTTTTTGGGGTGGTGTAGTTTGTCCAGTTTGCAGTTTGGTTCTTGGGTCTTATTTTTGGGTCAAGAAGTTTGGAGATTTGTTCGTGTCTTACTTTAGCGTGTTTAGATGTACATTGTCCGGTTTTCAGGTCTGTTCTTGTTTTTTGTTTGAGCCCAGAGTTGCTTGGGGGCACAGAAACTCATGACTTGGTACGCCGTGACGTGGTCCTTCTCTAGGCCAAAAGTCGTGGCATGGCCAGGCTCAAGCCATGCAGCTGCTCCAAAGACGTTGTGTAGTTGGACCAAACCAAGCTGATGGGGTACACACCCATATGGCTGTGGCTCAAAAAAGTGCTACCCGTTGTTGGGCGCCTTGGAGGGAAACAAAGACCAAAACCTGCGTAACCCCAGCTGTTTAATTTTGAGCCACACCCATATGCGAGTGTTTCAAACAAAGGGGAATCTCTAAAACGGTGGTTTGTCTTTGGTTTCCCTTTGAAACAACCCAACAAAAAAGGGTACCGTTAAAAATGGGTTCCGCTTTCGTGGTTTTGCGGGGTTTTCCTTTTGGTTTACCCCGAAGCAGCTTAGAAAGGGTACCTCAAAGAGAAGAGCCACGCCAAGTTGGGTATGTGTCAAACTAGGGGGGGCAACAAATGGGCGGCTTCCTTTTTGTTCCTGGGACCTTCCGGGTGCCGGGAACGAAAAAACTCCCTGAGGGGAAACCAGATCGGAACTGGCTGCCTTTATGCGGGGCAATTACATTTCTCCTTCCCCTACCGAACCGATCGCACGTTCTTGGCATGAAAAAGCACAGCTCTAATGTTTCCGTCACACACAGGTATGTTTCCACAATGGAAGGCTCTCTTCACTTGCTAGAAATGCTGGGTCGTCTCAAGATGCTGGGTGGGTCAAAGTGACCTTTCAAACAGCGGCATTGCCACTTCTTGCCAGTGGACAGAGTCCTTTTGTGGGTGCCTCGAGGTCAGAGTGGCAATCACTTTCCGGGTTGGTTGAACACCGTCACTTAAGCTATTGCTCTTCAAAGAATTCGCCTGACATATAGAAAAGCCCGAATGCATGTTGCAGAATTTACCAAGCGGATAGGGTGCCATCAATTGGGAAAGCAAATGCAGACAGTTGGCTAGCGTGGGAGGCGTTGGATGTGTCTAGTGACTAGAAACCAGTGGTAGAGAGTCACTTCTGCAGTCTGGTTTTGCTAGGCACTCAAGCGCGAAAAGGAGAAATTAAGAAGGACAATCCATTAACAACCACCGGCTTTTCAAGAAATTCCTCCAAGTCATGTGATAAAAGGTGGATTTCCAACTGGCCCAAATGTGGATGCCAACTACCACTCGAGTAGGTAACCCTTCGCCCTTTTCTTGTTGATTTTTGAAATCCCATTTTGCCTGCAAAAAGCATGGGTAGCTAACTTGTCCGTTCCCTTCATGGCAGTTGGCTAGACTCTGTTCCCTTCCTGGCAGTCTCACCATGGCAGAAGCTAAAACAAAAACCACCTCGAGGCAGCACTGCCCGCCTGCTGGCACCAGCTTCTCGCGCATCGTGCCGCAGCCCGGGGACTCCAGGCATCGGTTTGGTTCGATGGTCACCAGGAGTCGCAAGGCGAGCTGTTTTTTGGCCCTGGCTACGGGCTGGAAAAAACACCAGTGGGCTGCGGCAAAGCTGGCCAAGCGATTCCTCCCAGATCTCGGTAGTTTGGGCGAGCGTGTCGGTTGGACCCCCCCCCGGAACAAAAGTGGGGGTTCCTTGGTTCTTTTCAGGAGGTACCTTCATGGGTATTCCTTGGTTGTTTTTAGGAGACCCCCCCCAAAATAGTGGGTTTCCTTGGTTTTGTTTGGTTGGTGGTTTCCTTCTGGTGTTGATTTAAAAACCATCAAAAAGGGGGGTAACTCCAAATGGGGCCAGTTGGCTGGGACGAGCCACCCACTGGCGCGAGGAGGGTTTTGCCCAGATCTGACACATCTCCGCACTGAACCAACGCGTGCAGGTTCGGCGGGCTTGCGAAGGGCATCCTGAAGCCATAGCTTGTCTCACTCGAAAGTACTGGTGGCTGCACCAGGTGCAAAGCACCCAGAGATTGTTGGGGTCTCCCATAGGGTTCTTTGGATGACAAGTTCACGTACAATTTGAGCCGGGCCTTGCGAAGCAAGCCGGGGAAAAAAGCGCCAAGCGCGGCTTGGCCGCGCCGGGATTTCTATCAGGGTGTGTGCGTGTGTCCTCGGCACCCTTTTGAGGTTGGCTTAAAGGGAAACCACAAGGAGCCCCCCCATTTCCATTTGTTGGCCCCCCTACTTTGACACCTGGCCAAGTTGGTGTGGCTCTTTTTTGGGGGTGGTTTACCCTTTTGAGGTCGGGATAGAAACGGAAACAAGGAGAGACCTTTTTTCCAACCACAAACCTCTTTTTCGACCTCCATCTTACCTTTTGGTTTGTTTTCAGGAGAAACTAAAAGGATTCTTAGTCGTTCCGGGCATCGAACCATGCCCATTTGCCTTCAGCTTGCACTCAACTCAAGAGTTGGGAGCACTCAGCTTTCCACTGGGTTTGGATAGGTTGGGGATTTGCACCCTGGTTCTGGTAGAGGGTGAATGGGAAACTACCCTAAGCCGAACCACCAATCCGAGCCACAAGTTTGAGGGAAGCTGAACTTGTGGCTTGTCAAACACAGGGATTCGGACCGAAATGGGGGTTGTCCAATTTGGCGAATAAAACCAAGCTGAAGAGGGTACCTCAAAAAAAACGTTCACCCACTTGACGGTGGGCCAGTGCGCTACTCACACGACATGGGATATTCTGACCTCCATGCCTGGCTGAGCGACTTGCTTTGAAGGGCACGAGCTGAAAACACATAAGGTACGTAGCTCGCAGATTTGGCTGTGGCTCAAAAAACCGGTACCAAAATGGAACCCTGGTAAGTGGAAACATGGACCAACACCTGCGGTTTGCCCCTCCTGTTTAATTTTGAGCCACACCCAATCTGGGGATAGAGCTCCCTGTGACTTCGTTTTGCCGGGAAAAAGTGAGCTCGCATTCGGCCGTGAGGTTCCTTGGCGGTCATCGCTCGAGCTTACTTGGCGCGAAGGCGGCCGGCAATTTGGGGGATGGGCTTTGGCTGGCCTGGCGAAGTACAGCCGTTGACCTTTTTTTCAGTCTGGTACGCCTCTCCCCAAAACCGGCCTTGAGAACCTGGAAGTCTTGGGGAAGCTCCTTCCGCAGGCAGCCTTTGCTGGCGCTGCCGCCGCCGGATGCCTCCGAGGCGAGGAAGCCCGTGGTGAGGAGAAGATTTGCTTCAGGTCTATCAAGCGGAAATTCGTTCTCCAGGACTTGGGCCACTTACATTCTGTGAGCACGGAGCCTTCAAAGCGACAAACTTGACAAAGTAGCCACAGGAATGGCGCCGTTTAGCAAATTGGCATAGATCTCAGGTCATTGCTCATGCCAGCAGGCGAAGCAACATGTTTCTCTCTACCAGCCTTGTTCTCAGTCCATCGATTTCACCCGAAACTGCTTTTCTACTAACATCCGACCACTCGGAGTCGGGAAACAGCACAGTGTTTCTCAAAAAGCAGAGCGAAGCCATGTCTTGGGTCCCCCAAATTTTGACAAATACACACTTTGTGGCTTGTCTCCTTTTGACGTGTGGGCCATGCTACGTGGCAGGTGCTACCTTGGCGCACTGCTGTCGCGGTGGCTCGCTCGCTGACCAGCTTGTACTGACCGGGGCTAAGCAAAACTTGCGAGACGTGGCTTGTATTTACTTAGTACTTGGGGTCATTATTTTGACAGGTAAACTGGGGTTGTTTCCCTTTCGCGCACCACTTGGGGACTGACTTTGATGGTGAAGTACTGAGGCGAGACCGTCAGCAAATCCACTAGTTGGGATGGATTAAATTCGGATAAAACCCTAGCCTGGTTGATAAACTGCCTACCAAGCGCTGCGAAGTGGATAAAACCCCTCAAACCACAACCCAGGGAAGAATGGTAAGCATAAAGCTTTGCAGAGTGGCTATGTAGTGGTTGTATATCTCGGGGCCATATTCCGCGACTGACCCAGTAGCTTTCGAAGAACTCCAAGGGCCTGTCGAAGTGTTTCCCAACGAAGCCATGTCCGCTGCGGGCAAGTCGTTTTGTCCGAGGCTCGAGATCCCGGGAATGGCTTTCCTTCGATCTCTCGTGAAATTCACCAGGCACCATGAACAAACCGAAACCCTAAACCCGAAACAACCCAGATTTGGGATTCTTCGCAGGAGCCACTGCAACGTGGAAGGACGAAGCTGCGAAACCAAGGCATCTCTGGGCAAAATCAGCTCTCGCCCGACGGCCAGTTCTTGTTGGTGCCGCTTTCGGAGGCTCGCGCAAGGTTGGTCTCTGGCTGGGGAGGAGGGAGGTGATGGGGAGGGGGGAGCCCAACGAAGCAAGCCCTAAATCAACGTCGCATTTCTGGGCTTCCTTGGGCTCCCTCACCCCAGCCCCCGGTTCGCTTGTCATCTATGGGCTTACTTGGGCTCCCCTGCTTCACCCCCCACCGCTGGCTTTTGTCGCTTTTCGCAGGTGATTCGACGTCGGCCGGCGGCCCAGCATTGCGCGATTTCTCGGTCGGCTTCCTGCGCGGGGGAGGGGGGGGCCTTGCACAAGTCCCAGGCTGGGCTTGGCGTCCCTGTGTCCCATGCTGCTGCGAGAGGTGGGAGCCACAATCCAAACCCGAGACGAAGGTTGGGAAGAGATGTCCCGACCATAAATGGGTGCGGCCGTGCTTGTCATTCTTGGTTTTGGGTAGGCAATGTTATGTTTGCCAGGTTTTGATTCTGACTCCCCTTGTAAGGAGGAACGCATAGGAAGAGCAAGCCCCCCATATGGTTGAACTGGGCAACAGCCCGCCTTTTGGCATAGGCCATGGGCTCGGATTTTCGGGCGGCTTTCACCTCACAGATGTCGCTTCGGTGCTTGGGATCGCGATCCGCGCGTTCGAACCTCTGACCAGTGAAGCCAGGTTCACAAGCAGGCAGCCCGCGAGGCAAGGGTGACGCGACGACTTGTCTCTTAGCATGGTGATGATTTGTATATACTCAAACTGAAACCACGAGGGCACCGCAGGGTTTTGTCCATGTCTCCACTTCCCAGAACAAGTGTTGGGTACCTATTTGTGACCCACTGCTGTTTGGGACCGTCGCCACTTGCTCCAGCTTTGCCGGCAAGGCACGTGAATTGGGCAATGTGCAGAAACAGTACCTTCAGCCAGTCGATCTCCGGTCGAGTGCGCGCATGGCGCGAGCCATGCCGAGATCCCGGGGCTTGCTTGGGAAGCTTGGCCTAGGCCTATGCTGAAGCGGCGAGGTTTGTTAAACCTCCCCCCCTCGGGGAAGATGCCCGCGCTGCATGGAAAAGGCCGGCTCCCCAATAAAGCTGCGGACAGCTTCCAACAGATCTTGGGTGTTTCATGTCCTCGGCTCGGGTTCCTCCAGGAACAGAATCTGGCTTGGACTTTTCACCATATCCCCTCAACATCCCAAAAGTCGCAATGACATCTATGACCATCCTAGGCAACAGCCACAAAAGACATTGCAAGATCTCAATTCAGGCTGCCAGTCGATTGTCGAGCAACCCCAAAATGGCTTGCCCTGGGAAATGGATCCACTCGACTAAAAGCTGCGGTCCACTTCCCGGTTGGTTTTGTCATACCCGAATCAGGCTATGCCGTGGCCTGTCAAGCTGCCTGCCAAGGAAGGTTGCAAGACTGGCCGCTGCTTTGCTGGTTGCGCAGGTGCGCGGAACGATCAATTGTGCTGAAGTTGAAAGGGGTATGGGTCAAAATTAAACCAACAGAGGACCGCAGGTTTTAGTCCATGTTTCCATTTGCCAGGGCAAGCCATTTTGGGTACCTATTTTTGACCCACAGCCAAATGATTGATTTCGTCAGAGAGCTAGACAGCAAGCAAAAATTAGGTCTGGCCAAATACCGGCCTGTGAGTTCTGTTGAGAATTAGGAGCAAGCAAACGGACTGTCCGTAGATTGATACGGAATTGCATCCATGGTCAAAACTGAGGGCCTTGTCGGGAGTATTGATCAACCCCAGGGTTCGAGGGTTTCACTTGTTCGAGATGCGTTGGCACTAAGCCTGCAGTTCGGGTAACTCTGGTTGTTTGGAGTGGTGATTTGGATTTGGAGTTGGATGTGAACCCGTTGCTGGAGAGTATATAGGAGTATAGGAGACCACCGGAGCACCTCCAAACCGATTCGGCTCCACCCAAAAAACGTGGGAAGCTGGGCAGTGCGCTTTGCTCCTGGCAGTTCTGCGCTCGAAGCTTCGTGCCGCCGAAGGCCGGGCACCCGGATGGCCAGGGCCATGGGGGTGGCGGTTCCTTCGGTTTTCTTTGCTTTTTGTTGGTTTAGTGGGTAGTCCCACTAAACCACTCAAGGTGTTCGATGTTTTTGGGTAGGGGACCTTTGGTTGATTTAAAGGGAAACCAAATTGAGGAAAACCACCATGCTGTTTGTTCCCATGGAGACATACCTAGCACCCCCAACATGGCGGTTTTCCTTTGATGTTTCTTTAAAGCCACAAAAAGCAGGGGGCACCCTGAAAAAATGATCCATATTGACTGTGGCTCGCGTGAACCTTCGACTTTTTTGCGCACCTGTGATACTTGGGCCTCATCCAGCGCCTGTGCATTGGCCACGAGTGACCAAGCACTCATGTTTGCGTGTACACGTGGCTGCATTTCGATGCGCAAGCGATATCAGATGTCGGCTTATTCGCCAACTGTTGAACTACCTACCTTGGCTGTCTCGCCGGAGTAGTAACCAGGCAATCATTGAAGTCAAACTTGACTTGCTTCACCCAGAAACCAACCGGTTTGGAGGAGGCTCAACTGAAAATTGTTCGTTGTTCTGGAGCGATCCCTCCGCGGATCATTTGCGAAACATGTGACAAGGACAAAGCAGAGGCCAATAGAGTCAATCCTGAAAGTGTTGCACGAGTCAGTCCTTTGTGTGATTGTTCGAGATGGTGCTATGGACGGTTGCAGCATGTATGTCGCGCGTGGGCGTGTGCGCGTGTGACTTGGTGCTAGAGTACCCCGCGCACGTGCGTGAAGTCTTCTACCCACGACTGCAGCTTCATTCCACCCTGTCGCCCTTAAGCCCGACCCCACACCAAACACCCCCAGAATTGACAGAACCTCGTTTCTGCAATACGTGGGCAGACTGCGCATGTGCAAGTGCCCGATTGCTCATATCTGCGCTTTTCCCCTTTACATGAATTTCGTATTGAGCCCGGCTGCCCTTCACGTTTCACCGGCTGAGAGGAGTCCGGATTGCGGCTCGACCGCCAGCCAGGAGCCGTTTGACGTAAAACGCCCGGCGGAGGGAACCGCATGTGTCCTGAACCTGTTGGGCGGTTTTTTGCCCAGAGTGGACAAAAACTTGGTGGGACCCCAGCAAAAGTGTGATTTTTCCTGTAGACCATCTTTCAAAAGGGTAGCCTCAAACAACACACACACACAGACACACGCACCCAGAGGGTAGGTTCCCGGATCAGGAGCTCTCTTTTTCGCCCTTCCGTGTGCAGCGCCGCTGGGGCAGGCATTGATGGCTCGTCCTTTTTGGCGTCGGCACCCCTGGTTTGGTGGTTTTCAGGCGAAACCAAAGGGAAAACCGGCAACCGCCATTTGGGGGAGGGATAAAAACAAGAAAAGCCACACTTGCCCATTTGTGCCTTTGAGTCACAAGCGAGCGTGTGGGGGTGGTTCCCATAGAAAACAGAATGAATACTGAGACTCATGCCATGTGCTAGGCACTGCGGTTTCTACGAAAGGATCCTCAGGGTGGAGTTGGCCTCATTCAAGCGCAGGTTGACATGTCCGTTCCATCAACGAGTGTCCGCTGGGCTTCGTTTCAAGCCACACATTGGCCAAACTTGCCTTGCTGCATTCAATTGAAGCATCTCACTGGCGTGTGTTTTTTGGATACCCTTTTCACCTCGGTTTGCTTGGAGAAGACCAGTTTGGGGTCCCAAAACCAAAGATCTTGGAGACATACATACGTGACGCAGAGAGCGGCCGCATTCCAAGGAATGCCGCAGACCTTGCAGAAGCAGGCTGGGGACTGGGGAAGCAACGCATTCACCCTTCGGCTTTCCAAAAGAATCCGGGTTCCGATCGCCAAAGGACCTCCCAAAAAGAAGTCACCCAAACCACCGAGGTTGTTGGGCTACCAAGCGCTAGCCCGTGCCGCTGAAGAAAAAGGTAGACTCAGTTCTTCAGTGGCACCCTTTTTCCCTTTTTGTTGGTGGCTGCCCCACTAAAAATGGTCCAAGCCCCAAAAAGGGTTCCCTTTTTTTTCCAGGGTAGAGGAGACGCACAGTTTGTTGATTGCATCGAACGTGCAAGCACTTCGATTGCTGCACTTTCGATCCCGAGCCCATTGCCTAACCGTAACGTGGGGGACATTGGCGTGTTAGAAGCGGGTCCCCTGGTTAGCCAATGTCTGAAGAGTTGAAATAACTTTCGTTTTGCAGGTTTTGGCAGTGACTCGTGTGCTGTGACTTCCTCTGTTCGAAGACTTCGTCGTTCAGGCACGGACGTGGGAGCCGCTTGCCAGCAAGCGGCTGGGAGTAGCCGATGTGACGGAGCACGCTGATGGCTCGTAGGAAAGGTCGGGAAAAAAAAGGGTAAACCCTTTCTGACAAGGAACGAAAGGCAGTGCTCCATATTGCGTGAACCCTTTCAATGCGGAACTCTCCACTGTCCACAAGAGTATATAGGCGCAGCGCCACACGACATACTCTGGTCTACGTTGGCTGAGGAAGGTGGCTACGTCAAGTGGGGCCAAGAACAACAGATGTTTGCGTTCGTGCGCCTTGGCAAGGTGTCACATGACGCTAGGGCCAACATGCAGATGATCGTACCAAATATCCAGCAACCTATTGTCATCTATTGTCCATTTGGGAGGGACGTGTGCGGACTTTCCCAAATTCCCCACAACAACCAAGCGGGCTCTGATTTGACACGTTCTTTACAGTATTCAAAGTACTGTATTTTGACCGCTCCCATTGTGGCCTCTTCAAGGCCCCCAGATACGTACTGCAGCGAAGGTTCTTCGTGCTCTTCCCCTTTGGCACGCTCTACCTCATCTTTTCAGGGCGATTAGGCTGGTGGCGCCTTAGCTGAGACGTGTTGAGTGGAGACAGATGAGACCGATGATGCTCGTTCACTTGCCAAGTTTCGACTGTGTCTCGACACTTTTAGCCAGCACGGCAACCCCTAGACGGCCAAGACTTGAAATGCTTTAAGCTCCGACACGCAGCTTCAGGATTGTCTTGTGAATTGTGCATGTGGGGGTTGCTCAAAAGGTGCTTTCCATGCAGTGACCTCTACCAAAACAGATTTGACTTTCACCACGAAATGAGAATCGCTGACATGGTCATTTGGCTGTGGCTCAACAAAAAGGTACCCAAAATGACACGTTGGCAAATGGATACAAAGACTAAACCCTGCGCAACCCTAGCTCTTACTTTTTGAACCACACTCAAAACTGGGGCCTCTAAGGGAATATCGATCAACCCCCTGTGGCTCAGAGCTTTGGATTTTGTTTCTAGCGGCCGAGTCTGTGCCAAGGAACTACGACGAGTCCGGCAGAGAGCTGAACGCTGAGGAGCCGCGTGGCGCCTTTGCGAACTCGTCTGATCGAAGCAACTGAAGCTTTGTGTGGCCCTTTACTCATCTCCTTTGAAGGTTGAGGTCAGCTCATGCAAGCTTCACCAGATCTGCCCGCGATTGTTTGCTCCATTTGTTTCGAAGCAATTGTCAGCTCATGCACGCAAATCATCAGCATGTTCACTGCAAGGGACAGTCCGGGGTTCTCACAGACAAGAGGGCTTAGCACCAGTGCTTGCCAAAAAAATATTTGGGGTGAAGCAGAACATGACCGTGTCATTGTGAGTACCTTCGCAGGAGTACAGAGCGCTCAACAAGCAGGAGAAGCCCACATGGGGCAGATTCCCATGGGAGCTGGAAAGTGACAACTTCAAGAAGTGAGGAGGGCTTAGTCTGACCGCGTGAGGGCCCTAGGCAGTTCACAGGGGAGTGTATCACCTTTGACTGCGTGACATCCCAAAGTATTTCAGGATGGAAGGAGCAATCTGTTTAAGAAAAGCGCCGCACGCATGCCAGACGTCCACTTGGAGCTTCGATCACGCTTCTCCGATGCAGGCAGCACTTGGAGCCGACTTTTGGGAGGCGATGACAGATGACGCCGTTTTTTGTCGACACCCAGCCTTGGATGAGTTTGAAAAAACAACGACACACATTTTGGCCATTTTGGACAAACATTTTGGCCATTTTGGCCGGCCGTTTTTGCAGAAGAATACGGAGACTGGCCTGTTGGGATCCAAAAGCTAGGCTGCAAAATCCCTTTGAGTCTGTGCTTGGTTCCCTTGAAGGGTGTTTTGCAAACATCACCTTTTGGTTTTTCCGAGGGCTGTTTTCTTCTTAGGTCTGGTTTACTGGCTGGTTGGCTGGCTGGTTGGCTGGCTGGTTGGCGGGCTGGTTGGCGGGCGGATTGGTTGGCTGGCCGTGTCCTGGCAGCACCATACTTGGACCTATGGTTGCTCATGGGCTCTTGCTCGGGGTGGTTTCAGGCCGGCTTAAATCTTACTGAGGCTGGGTCTTTGGTTGGTTTGGCGATCATTTTAGACTCAGCAAGCTACCATCCATGCTGCTGTTGGGCGGGGTCCAGGTTTGGGGTTGGCTGGGAGGGCCTTGTTGCTTTAGGGCTTGGTTGTAAGTGCGTTTTGGAGATCGGTTCGGACCGTTGGAGGGGTGCATGGACCAAAACTTGCCGAGCCGGGAGGTGTGCACTGATGTGGAGGAGTTCTATGCTCCAAGTCGTCGATGGCGGGGACTCTCACGAAATGGGTATGCCTCGTGCGAAGAAAAATAGGTCTATTTATTACTTGGACCGGGACACTTTTGGTGGCGGTGAACTTTTGGCTTCCTTTGGAGCCATCTGGACAAGGGTACCTTCAAACAGACACGTTCGACAAGACACACACACACAAGTACAGGAAGCATCCTCAATGGGTGGTTGCCATTGAACTCCCCTTTAGTTGACCGCGTAGTTAATTTGCTTGGGAACAGACAACTGCCACACGTGAAAAAATACAGTGGCATCCAAGCAATCCAGATACATTGGTCATTCCGAGCCCGTGTGCCAGGCTTGCTTGCAGGTTGCCCAAGACACGCGAGCACAGTGCTCAGATTTGTTCGACAGCTGCGCTTGTGTTAGGCGGCAAGCAGATGTATTTCAGCTTGGTGGTTTGGGGAATTGAACCCTTAAATTCGGGGGTAAATGGGAAATGTCGAGTCCGGGTTTTGGGATTGAACCGTTTTGGGATTCCCTTACAGGAAGCCAAATCGGGGATGGGTTTTCTCGGGGTCAGCGAGAGAATGCCAGGGCTGTGATGGAGATGACTGGCCCGTCCGCACTGTGGCTTGCGCCTCTGTGCGCAAATCACAGACGCAGACCAGACAATGAGCACAAACAGAGAGGCTATACTTCTAGCACTCCAGGCTTGTTTTGGTGTGCTTGACTTGCTGAAGAGCAAGTCACAGACTGTATGGAACATCATTATGCTGCACCTTTCTGCTTGAAGCTGTGGCCGGTCAAATGCCAGTTCGCCATCTCTGTGCAGGCTACTTCCCTGCCTCAGCAACACCCTTGAAGGCCGCTGCATGTCAAAGAGGGACCCCATCGCTCATTGGGACATGGGGGAGGGGCCACTAATTTCCCCGCTTTTCCTCGCATGGGGGGTCACGCAATTTCCCTACAAAACCTGGTGATTCACGGTTTTTCCCACCTGGCCGGTCAACACCAATGTGATCCCATTTTTTTGCTAGGTGCACCCATTCTAGAACCTATTTCAGTGGTTGGATCGGGATGTTCACGGGGCCAACCGGGGTTTTGAGCGCGGCTCCTGGGTTTCTCTCTGCGTCGCAGGCGAAGACGCAGGCCTGTGCCGCAGGCTCCGGCTGCTGGCCGGCCCGTACGCCACGCGGGTGCGCCGAATGCCGAATCCGCCTGAAGCGACGTTGGGGAGCTGCTGAAAATCGCTGCGGTGGTGAAAGCCGTTTTGGGATCCCATTTTGGTTGGTAGGTGAAGTCACCACCCATTTTAGAACCTGTTTTAGTGGTTGGATTGGGATGTTGACTGGGGGTACGATTTGGATTTTGAGCCATGCATGGCCAAATGGCAACCCCGAAACCAAGAAGAGTTTGTTTTAAGCCAAGCGTGTCAGGGGCGCCTGGGGTAGTCCAAAGAGGGATTTTGGACCCCAATGGTGAACCAACTCAGCTTCGCGCTGGCAGGCGCTAGTGACAGACACCACCCAAGCGGTGCTGGCAGCTGTGGCATGGGGTGTGCTACCACGTGGGGAGCTCACACGAGCACCCAGTAGATGAAGGTTAATGCTGGATGGTCCCAACCACTAATAGGTTGGGCCGCCTTTTGATTGTCGGCATGGCTTCTTCAAAAGCGATGAGTGGACATGAATCCCGAGCTGAATGTCCACCAAAGGGTCCCCCTTTAAAATTCGCACCCAAATGAGGGCACAGTGTTTTCATGGCACGTGGTATTTGGCTGCCATCCATGGTGATGCCAAATACCCCGATGAAGGTTAAGGGACAATCCCCTTGCCAGAAACGGATGCAAGCAGCCGCCTTTTGGATTCTTGAAGCATCGTGCTGGGGATCGATCATACGGCCCGGGTTTGATTATGAACATAAATGGGCGTGTCTTTTTTTGGTATTGGACCCCCCCACCCCTGCAAAAACATGGGAGGTGTTCCTCTTGGTTTCCCTTTGCACACCACCCAAAAAGGGGACACCAACTCAAAAGGCGAGCCACTGGCATCCTTGGCTTCTCTTGCTGGCGCGATAGGGAATGACCCTGAATGAAGCCAGAAAGTTCCCCGACAGGAAGCCAGCAGGATGGTTTTTCTCGGGGTCAGACTCGCCTCACATTCCATCTCTCTCATCCCTCGCGAT